GTTTGCTAGATCAGTTGGAATGTGGAGGGAGGCGATTTTAGAGAGAGGCTGGGGGGAGCTTTGAAATTCAGTGTCATTTTACTCTACTGCGTGGAGAGGAAACTGGGTAAGAAAACATTGTAAGAAGTGGGGGCATGAAGGGTTTGTGTGGGTAACACACGTGACAGACTTCATGGTGAGGGACCTTGGAAAGAATGCCAGCCCATTGCCCAGGGAAGACAAGTTACCCCAACGCTCAGCTCAGGAGTCGGAAGGCAGGTGAAGAGCAAGTAGATGGGTCTCTTACCAAAAGGCATCCATGTGCTCTAGATGGGGACTGACCTCTAGCTGCTTCGGTTTTTCTCGTTTTAAATGGAGGCTTACATCTTAAAAGACTAAGTTTGGGGGAAAGGGTTTGGTGGTTTGGGGACAGCACCGGGGAGAAATGATTCCAACGGGATCCCAGCAGGCAGCTGCAGGCTTAGGGGAACCTTCGGGTTGAAAGTGACAGTTTCACAGGGGAGGCGCCAGGGCCTCACCTGGTGCCAGGTGCTGTGTGCACCAGGGCTTCAGGTACAAATAAGGCGCCGTCCCCACCTTCCCGGCCAACCTGGGGTGTGAGTAGATGACAGTGCAGGGTGCCTTTGGGCCGTGAGGTGCTAGGGAAGCTGGGGAGGGGTTGCCAAGTGTATTAGCCTCGCCTCCACCAGGTGCCTCAGGTCCCGGCAGCAGGGCTCGCCTTCACTGTAGCTCTGCTGTCTCATTCCTCATCCTGCCTGCCCCCCAGACATGGTTCTGTTGATCTTGGCATTCACTGGGTCACTGTTTTACAGTGAGAGTGTAAAGGTCCTGGCGAACATTGTACAGGAGCGAGTGGCCAAATGGCCCAGCAAGGAAAGGTGTTGAGGCTCCATGCCCTGAGGGTCAAGAAGTCAACCATCAGGATCTCAGCAAAAAAGAATCCAAGCTTTGGGACGAATGCGACAAGCCTGAGAACCTGAGAACCGGGAAGTTGCGCCATAAACAACAGGAAGCTGTTGCAGGTTTGTTTCCCCGCCCAGATGCCCTTTGGGTTGTGGAAGGTACACAGAGCCTCTCATGGTTGCCAAACGCCTCAGCTGCGGTTCCAGAGTGACACGAGTTCTCGTCACCTGGCCAGGGTCTGCCGGAGGCAGTGTAGCAGAACATCAGGAAAGGCGGCAAGATGATGATTTTGTAAATCCTCACCTGAGGATATGTTTTCATTGATTCTTGGAGGGAGGGCGAGAAAGAGAGAAACATCGATGTGAGAAAGAAACATCTATCAGTTGCCTTCCATACACACCCCAACGGGATCGAACCTGAAACCTAGATCTGTGCCCTGACTGGGAACCAAACCCGAAACCTAAGTATGTGCCCTGACCAGGGACTGAACCAGCAACTGTTTGGTGTACAGGACGACGCTCCAAGCAACCGAGCCACCCGGCCAGGGCGAGATTTTTTTTTTTTTAATTTATTGTAGTAACATTGGTGAGATTCTTATACGGGCATCTGGGCACCTGCCAGAAACCTTCTCTTGTAGAGACCAGACCATTTTTTGAACTGGTTCCTCTATCTCCACTCACCTGTTCCCTCTTTTGCTTCCAGAGTGATGTGTTGTAGCACAGAATCTGTCAAGATTTCCCAGGGAGACACAAATCCACACTCTGAGAGCCCCCAGGGCCCCTGCCTCCCAGCCCACCTGATCCCTGTCTCCTCTGCTAACCCCACACATAGGCTGTCAACGACCCATCTTGGCTCCAGCTTCAAAGTACATCCATATCCCACTGCTTCTCCCACACCTCCACTGTCACCCCACTCGTCCATGCCCTCCTCATATGACTCTGATGTGGACTGAGCACCTGTGTTGGGGTTCCCCAGAGAATCCATATATGCAGAGAGATTCATTATAAGGAATTGACTCACACAGTTACGGAGGCCAACCAGTCCAAGCTCTCCAGTCAGCAAGCCGGACACTCGGAAAAGCAGATGTTCCAGTTTGAGTGCCATCTGACCGACAACTGGTTAGACCAGGCCCACCCACAACACCGGCAGCCCATCTGCTTTTCTCAGTCTACCCAGAAACACCCTCCCAGCACCCTCACAGTTTGACCAAATATCTGAGCACCCTGGGGCCCAGTCACATGGATACAAAATGACCAGCACAGCTTTCAAACCGAGCTTCCTGTTGTCCCCTCTGTTAGTCTCAGCACAGCAACCGAGTAACCTGATAAGGCCCTGAGCCAGGGCTGGGCAAACGGGCCCGCAGGCCAAATCCAGACCACCGGGAGCTTATGGAGCCCACAAGCTGAGAGTAGCGTTGACATTTTTAAGTGATTGAGAAAAACCCAGAGGAACAGTGACAAGTAGAACTCACATGAAATTCAAATTTTAGTGTCCTTAAGTTAATTGGCATCCAACCACGCCCCTTTGTTTCAGCATCGTCCATGGCTGTTTTTTTACATTTGCAGAGTTGAGTAAATGCAACCGAGACCCTGTGGCCACCAGTAAAATATTTACTATCTGGCCGGTTAAGAAAAAGCTTGCTGACCCCCGATAATTAGGCTCGACGCCCCTCCACAACCTCTCATTCCACCTC